GCGTGAGAGATCATTTTGTGATTACCCTCTGGATGAAAGATAATATTGATATTGGAAATAATTTGCTTGATATTTTTTGCTGCAAATGGGCACTTAAAGACATGTTGTATATTCTCAGTACAAAGGTCACACCTGGGACAATAGGGATCTGGGTATTGTTCAGGGTATAATTTATGGAGGTTTTTCCTTGTGGGAAGTGTTCCTGAAAGTAATTTGATCCTGAAGGCAATCAGGTCACTGTATTTGTTAGATTTGATATATCTGATATTCTTGTTAAATTTGCTGATTATTTTGAGGCTGTGTGAGTTATGAAAAGATTTGAATATTTTTAAGATTGATGTGCTTTCACAGATTATATAGGTCTTGGTGATACTTAAGATCTTTTTGCACTATCTGATACTGCTGCCAAGTTGTTAGTTGTTGATTAGCGGGCTTTCTGAGAAGTGCAGTATAAGATTGATTCAATGGATGAAATTACTGGTTTTTGGATTGGACTTCAGTTTGGTATAAATAATTCGAATCGATTTGTCTTCAATTAATTGATTAATTCTCACAGTTATTGATACGAAATTGATTTTGATCATTTTTCTTAAATAGTTGGAGGCATTTTGAAGTATTTTCTTGTTGTTTCTGATTTCCATTGTGCTGTTTAGTGGACACCAATGGAGAATGTCAAATAGGATATACAGGAGGTCACCTAATGGGTGGCCTGGATTGATTAACTTGATACTGGTATCATTTGTGATGACTTTGCCTTGGTGGAGTTGGTGATAATAGTATTGGTGAAAACTAATGCTTTGAAATGTTGAGATGGGAGGGGAGATTAAGAAATTGTCGACAGACTGAAGAATGCTTTCATCTCTTTGAGGTGTGTTGTACAATTCATTAATTATATTGCTTGAACGATATTTAGTTAGTTTGTTAGAATTGGAGAGTACCTACAGGGAGGATACAGATATACTTGTAAAGGATATTATGCAGAGACCTGCGATGAAAGTTCCCATTGGACATCCACTATATCTGGATATTATTTATAAATTTTTAATATATTATTATTATTAATTGTAATAAATAAATTTAATTATTTATTTTTATTAAACAAAAAAAATTAATTAAATGAATTAATTAAAGATATTTTTTTAAAAAATTTAATTTAAGTTGCAATATATTTATTAAAATTAAATTAAAAAATTTATTGTAATTATTAATGTATATTTAAAAAGATAAGCTATTGATTATAATATTTCTTTTATAAACATTTATAATTTATTAATTATTTCTTTATTAATTACAACTTTTATTGTTTTTAATAGTTTTAATTTTATTTAATTTTGTTATTTTTATATAATGACATTGCTATTTATATTGAAGATATAGTATATAAAAACAATTAAGAAAAAAAATAAACTATCAGGACTAAATAGGCTATTAAATAAGTTATTTAAGCTTTTATAACTATAATTTTTTAACTATTATTAATATTACTTTGCATTTTTAAGATATACAATATAATAATCACAGTATATAACCATATTTTATAATTTTACTAGGCCAATAATATGCAAATCTGATTATAGCATGTTATATAATAGCTAAGTATATTTACTTTATATTAATACTATATATGTGATAGAATTGAATTCAACTATTTTTCAAAAACCGTATTATGGTAGAATTACTAAGTAACATATAGTAAATAATTGGAATTCGTATTTAATTCAGAATCATATTGTCGATCAAATTTCCTTTTATGGTAATACGACCACATATATGATTAATACTATATTAATTTTTTTTGTTTTATAATTAAAAAATATAATTGTATTTGATTAATCTTTGCTTATAGGTTATATAATTATAAGAAAAACTAAAATATTATACTGGAAAAATAAAACATATAAGAATTTGTTATACAGATAAACTTTATATAATAATAAGTAAACCTTTTCTTACTAAGATAAGTATATTGACTATGATAAGTATATTGTATTGTATTTATTATTATGAAAGCTAAATATATTTTATGTTTTAATATTTTTTTTATTTTAATTATCATTTTATTCTAATTAAATTCTTTATTTCAATTATTTTTATCATGATATTTAATATTGTATTATATAAGAAATTACTCTCTTATTCTATATAACAATAGAAATAAAAATTTTTTATTATAATTAAAAATACATTTATTGTTATATAAAATTATAAATTTTATTTTACAGTAATTAATATAATTATTTTAATATATATTTTAATAGTATTTTCTTTTTCAAAATTTGATAAAATTAATTTGAAAAAAATTTTTTTAGTATAATTTAAATATAATTTATAAAGTTTTGGTTGTTTCAAATCTAAATTATTAAATAAAAAACTATATTTTTCTGAAATAAAATTAAAACTGTACTTATTAAAAATTTTTAAAAGTTTAAATTCTGGTTATCAAAATAACAATACTTGTGTTGCTTTCAATAAAAAATTTTCTTAAAAAAATATACTTGCAAAAAATCAATGGTTACTTTGTTAAAAAACAAAAAATATATTTTTTTCAATTATTTAATTCTTATTAAATAAGTACATTTTTTTTGGCAAATAATTAAAATCAGAATATCAATTATTTTTTTAAAAAATATCTTTTTAACATGCAGTATGCTTTTATTTATATCCAATCCATTATAAAAATAATTTTTTAAAAAATTTCTATTTCATATTCGTATTTATTTATTTTGTAATTATTTTGTTCTTTATATTTTAATTTGAATAATTTTTTTTTAAAAAATATTTTATGATTCCTACCGTATATAATATGTATGTATCCCGTAAAACAGAATTTACCAATAATTGACATATTTTAATATATTCTAGACTTTGCAATTGTTTCAAATTTTGCTACTACAGTAATATATAAGGCATCCTCGTGAAATTATTTGAATTAGCAACCAAGTTTTGTGAGAGATCAATATAAACTTATCCAATTATGTTGTGTTTTAGTTGTATCTGATTTGCCATATATTTTTCCCAAGTTTTATTTTAGGAAACTTTAATAGACTCAGGTTATTATGTGCTGCTTTACTAACGCGTCGCACATGAATTTAATGTTATTTGATGATTCTTTTTAAAAAAATTCAAACGTCGATTTAAACATTAAACAGTTGTTTTAATAATTGTTATATTACAGTTCAATTATCTAATCATTTACAGTATGAATTTTTGGCAAACCATAAAATACTACTAATAAAGATAATCATGATACATGATGGAATAACAATCAATAATATTAATGTTGTCTTGTTTAACGAGTTGTCAGATGGAGTAGGCGAAGCAGTTGTAGTAACTATGTTAGTAGTACATGAAACACAAAGAGAATATGGTTGCACATTAAGGTTTGTAATATTAGCTTGCTTATTTGGAATAAAACCTGATTTGAGAGGGTAAAATAATTAATAATGTATTTAGGATCAAATTTAAATTCAGTGTTGCTTTAGAAGAGTGAAAATATTTTTATTATGTTTACCAAATGCAAGGATCATGTAATTTCCATACATTATTGCTGAATGCCTGGATAGTGGGGGCACAACTGTTAAACCTGGCACATCAGTCGAATTAGGAATGTACCAATTATATGGTATGGTAGTGGTTTTTAATATAGCAAGACTTGGAAGGACTGGTCTGCTATCAGTATCTTCTCCTCCGTAAATAACGATTTCTTCATTTGGACCTGTAAAGATCATGTAAGTTAGAACTACGAGCAGTGTAGCGGGCAATATACGAAATGTAATCTTAATTAGTTTTACAAAGAATACATACTCAATACAGCAGTATGAAATCGACGTGCATCCAAGCTATCACCAGTCGTTTCCTATAATTACAAAATAATAATAATAATAAACAACTTTATATAAATATATGTTAAAAACGAAACTTTATTATTTGATAGCATTTACTGTACCATTAGAGTCCAATTTAGGTTATTGGTATCAAAAAGATTAAGCTAGTAAACATAAAGTTATAAATGTCATTATGTTATGCGAGCGACGAAATTATTTGACACTTAGTATGAAGTCAAAGTATATATTACCTTTTTTATGTTAATTAGTGCTAGGCTGTTACCACTGCCATTGTATTCTGCCCCGCCAATATAGACAATAATACCATTTGACAAGAGTACAGAAGCATAATCTATCCGTGGATTGGGAAAATTCAGGGTCTGTTGTACATTTGTCCAAGTATTTGAACTAATGTCCAGAATATACATTGTATTATAGTAATTAGCAGCACGGCTGGTGTAATTGGTAATCCTGCATCCACCAAATATGTACACTCTTCCTGCTTTGTCCACCACAGCGTTAATTTCCTGAAACCCCTTCGGTTCATTGCCACTCATAACGGGGACTTTCCATTTTGAATTATTAGAATCAAACGTATATGTAAATGCATTGAAATATGGTATGTAGGTAATAGGATTCGTCATAAAACCGCCAAACAAGTACATAGTTTGATCTAACGGGCTAATTATTGAGGTAGAATATATGACAGAAACTGGCGCACTTGTATCTAAATCTACCCATCTCGGGCTTGTAGTGTCAAGTGAAGTAGACAAATCCAAGTAAAATACATCACTTAGATATGTGTCTTTACCGTATCCACTAGCATAATAGAGTCTGTTGCCTATTTTATTTGATATTGGACTATATCTTGGATCCGGAGTGAAACCAATGGTCCCTGAAAGAAAAAATAAAAATACTATAATTTGTCTCATTCACGGCAGTTAGATAAGGTTTGTGATGTAACTTTTTTCTCAATTCCATTTTTTACTTCTTCAAATAAACAACTTCTTTATATAGTATATCTGGCACTTTAGTCATCTTCGTGATACAGTACGTAAGAAAATATCTCTTTGTGCATGTAAGTGCATCTCAGTGTAACTAGATGAGAAATTCTGTATTTCTCTAACGTTTATTGAGAATTGAATTTGAATTCACCCTTCTGAAATAAACGCTACTATGAAATTACTCATACAAAATCTCATATTACTTGCTGTTATCATATATTTATTTTCCGATCACACATGTTCGGCTGATTATCCATCGATTTATGGTCATTCATCGGTATTGGTTAATGACAAGCTTTTCATTTTCGGTGGTAATACTGATTCTGGGGACCTGTCTAAATGTATATATTATCTTAATGTCACCGACCCCCGTCAGTCATTATCACGACCACTGATCAATCCCACATCTTATTTGAACTATACCATTAAAATTGCATGGGCAACAGCAGTCACATATAATTCCACTATATTTTTGTATGGTGGAAAAAACCAAAGTATCGACGCACCCGCAAATCTCTACATATTCGATTCAATAAACTTAACTTTGAAAGATTCTTATGTTCCCCAGAACGAAAGTCGTATAAGCATGCAAGCTGTTATCGACTCTAAAGGAAAAATTTATATTTTTGGTGGATATAATGTTCCTAAATTTTTATCCGGTTCACTTCCACCTAGTATTACCATTTTGAATAGCATGATTATCATAAATACCATCTTATACAAAAACTATTCGATTGTCAATACAACTTCCGGAATTATGGGCAGAGCATATTATAGTGCTACAATGTTAGATGACAGTATTTTTTATATAGGAGGAATTGATTCTTCCTACCGATCGGTCAAAATAACTAATGTAAGAATATTTCATTTTTATTTGCCAAGAAAGAATTATTACCAATTTAATTTATTTTAATAGATTATCGTGTACAATACATCAACGAATCAATGGGCAAATATTGTAAGAAATATTTGACGGTTACTTTAGAATTATTATAAGATTGATTTAAGTTATAACCTTCTATAGAATGTGAATGTCACTGGTTCTGCAATAATCGAAAACCGTTATGGACACACGGCGGTTTTAAGTGCGTACATTATATGTCTTTATTGTTTCTTTTTTCCTCAATATACTGTATTAATTAAAATTCATATCACTATTCTACAAATAACAGCACCAAATAATAGTAGTATTATTATTTATGGGGGAGTTACGGATAATGGTACCTTACCAGATCCCCAACTTTTCTTTTTAAATACAACTCTCCCTTATACATGGCTCATTCCCCCTCGAGATGAAACCTATCCACTTCCTAGCGCTTTTCACACCGCTAACATTGTTGGAGATTATATGATTATTGCGTTTGGTAATTTTCTGGTACCATAATTCATACTCACACTTTGCATCTATTTAAGCTAATAATTAATTGTTGTATGTCCTCAGGTCAAACTACAAATTCGGTAACATCGCCAACAAAGTCTTATAACAAGATACATTTATTTGACATAAACGCTTCTACATGGGTACCAGAAAATGTCACAAATCCGTCGCTGCCATCATCAATGCCAACATCACAATCACCACCGATAGACTTGGTAATAGTTGCGGTTATTCTCTGTGGAATTATAGCCGTTGTTTTCCTCGTTATCATAATTTGTAATAGAGACAGACTTGAGAGAATAATTGAGAACTTTAGAAGAAGACATGAGAGAGAGTATATAGGTTAGATAGTGTGACGTGCTAACATCGAGTCTGTCGCTAATGCAAACAGAGATTCGCGTAACCGTTAATGATGATTCAGGACTGACAAATAGGTGATTTGAGGCGTTCGATTTGACCAAGTGATTCTCACTTCTCACCGTACTACTTTATTAATTTTGACATTTTTCTCACTCATTTATACATTTCTCAATCATTTACATAAAATAAATTAAAACTTATTAAATATAGAATGATAATATTAAGTATGACCATAGAATTATTACATAATGATCTTTATAGTATCATTGTCGTCGCTCACAGTCATTATATTGACTGGTCGTGTCAGGATCAGATCTCGCGCTTTCCAGCGTATATTTGTCACGTGACACATTACAGTATTATCGTTCGTTACGCGGCGCGTACGATCTTGTCTTTTCAATGTGCCCTTATTGCTACATTATCGTGGCACCTGATAGAGGTACACGAATATAACTCTTCTTATTTTACCCCTTACAATAGTTATATGTTTTTTATTTAAAAAAATATGTATATAATAACAATAAAATTTTTGTTTAATTAACAAACCAATGCTCTACAGTTTATAAGAGAAAGTAAGGTACCGGCTATTTATTATTTAAAGAAATCTTTTTGATTAGGTTTTATTTTTTTATCATTAAATGATATGGAAAGTATTCGAAGTTTAAACATTATCATTAGAAAAAATAAATAATTTTTAGGTACGTAAATCGTTGTTCTTGCAAATATTAGATTTAATTATATTGGATGTAATAAGAAAATAAGACAGAGTAATTCAAACTTTTTTAAAAAATTTTTTTACAAAGGTATAATTTCAAATAATTATAAAAAAAGGGTTTTTAAAAAAATAAATAAATAAAATATAAGTTTGAACTTGAAGTTTTTGAACGTATTAAATATTAATTCCCAAATAATAAAATCTTTATTATCATAAAATGTATTAAATAATTAAAATCATAATTTGTCTTATATTTATTATGTTTTTTTTATATTAAAAATTTATTAAAAAATTTTTAAAATTTTAATTTTTTGTTTAAATCATACTACAAATATTTTTACGCAACCTTATTAATCAATTAATTAATAAAATTAAAAACACCAATTTTTAAAAATTATTATCAGGTATTTTTATCGATCGTTTTTTTTTAAAAAAGTTTTGATTTCAACTTTAATTGTGACAAAAATCAATGTCATGATTAACAATTAATTAATTGCGATTTTTTATTTGTTTTATTTAAACATACAGTATTTATATAATATTTACTATTGATTTATTAACAAAATACGATTTAAAAAATAGTTTATTTTTTACACCATATGTTGTTAATAATAATTTTTTAAAACATTTTATACCATATCAAAAATTAAATAAAATTATAATTATAATAATAAATTTTTTAACAAAAGCAATTAAATATTTTTAAATATAAACATAAAATTATTTTTTTATTTATGTAACCAAAAAAAGGATATATCAGAATGAGAAAATTGATTACAGAATATTTTTTAAAATGATGATCGGAAAAATATTACTGAATGGTTATTGTAGTTTTGTTTTAACTGTTATACAGTACATGATTTTTAATATTTATTATATTAATCTAAAAAGAAATAAATTAATTGTTCTTGTTTAAATTATGATTTTAATAAATATAAAATTAAAATAGATATTGTATATACTATTAAAAAAAGAAAATATAATTAAATTTATTTGAATTTATTTTTAATATAAATATTATGTTCCAATGACTGTACGCCGTTCTAACACTAACCAGCATGTTAAAATCTAGATACAAATTTATTTACAAGTATTTATACACCTGCGGATTGAAGAATCAGCAGATGTACAAATATAGTACTGTAATTTGTTCCGATGATTGTACAGATTCGTTACAGAGTTCGGAATAAGTTTACATCGGTACGTTACCTTATGGTGCGACATGTTGTGACGAATTCCAGATAAAAGCGATTGATTTCAACCAAATTAAAAGTAACATATAGATGATGTCGGTATTAAATCTACAGCAATTGTAAGTATTTGATGGTGAATTAATTACATACTGTATAAACAGTACACGTATGTTGAGATAGAAGGAACAATGGCACTTCTCATGCCTCAATGAATCATACCTAGCGTTTTACAGTAACACCAAAAATAATTACTTCGAATGTTCTATAATAAATTGTTCTAGAAAATATAACAAGTTATGCATAACAAAAGCATCACACGACCATATTGATCGCATGTCGTGTATTCTTTACGTGCAGGCAGACATGTAACAACGGTGATGCTATTGACAAAAGAGTTTTTTTTTTTTGTTTTATTCTACATATTCCAGTATACAGTATAAATATTTTAATAATACTTTCATCTTCAGTCACCTTCCCAATCAAAGTTTTTTACTAGACATTGTATCTGATTATTCATGCTGGGTAGATGAACTCGAACGATCGATCAATGATTTGAATCTGGAGGTGTATGACTATGATAGTTTGAAAATTTTAATTTAATTGGCCAAGGTTCTTTTGGAGAAGTTTATCAAGCAGTTAAAAAAGCCACAAAAATGGTCGTTGCGATGAAGGAGATACACATTGTTAACAAAGAAACCGCAGAAGCATTTATTAATGAGGTATTTAAAAATATCTTTTTTTTGATTTTTTAATTAAAAAATGTAAAATTAGTAAGATTTGTAAAATACAATTATTACTATTTGTCATAAGCTAAAATTGAGCAGGCAGTTAACAAACACATTAATACAATTCGATTTTTTGGAATTTCTCGAAAAGGTAAGCAATTCTTTTTTAGTCATATTTTCATTTGCGCCATAGCAAACCAACTTTCAAAATAAATAGATCGTCGAAGTTATTCATTAATTCTTGAATATGCTGACAATGGGAACTTACGAGATTATCTAAATAGCATGTTACTGAATTTGAATGAAAAACTTCGCCTGGCCAAACAAATAGCAAGTGCTATCGTCGAAATACATGCTAACGATATTATTCACAAGGACTTGGTGTGTACCGTAAAAGTAATTACGTACTTAAGAACTACAGTAAAAGAATAGTAACTCTGACAATAAATTATGTATATTTTAGCATCCTGTGAATATTTTGGTTTGTCAAGGACATGCTAAAGTTGCGGATTTTGGGCTATCGGAAAAAATGGATCAAAGAAGCAACAATTCATTTTCCAGTAAGAGTAAGATCCGGGAAGTTGAGTTATTTGTGGATCCACAATGTTTTAAACCAGGTATTAAATATAAGCGAGCCAAATAATCCGATGTATATAGTTTAGGAGTTTTATTTTGGGAAATATTTAGTACTAGTGTTCATCCCAGTCGTATAAAAAAAGGAATTCCATTAGAATATGAGAAATTTTGTGATGGTATGTGTGATTGCTTCTGCCCTAAGTACGATTTGGTCATTTATTGTCATAATATAGTATAGTTTATAAAAGCATGTAAATAGGTTTTCACAAAGGTTGTCGTTATTATATAAGATTATATAATTTAATGTGTTCATTATACTGTATATTTAGAATGAGATTGTATTGTTTCAATAAATGCATTTGGCAATAGTAAATCAAATACAATATTCTGTTCCGATAATTTCGATAATTTGAAATACAGTAATACAGTACAGTGCTAATATTTCGAGGATGTGCATTTTGATCGTAAAATTTTTAACACTAATCATATATAGTATGTTGTTGTCGTCACCGGCGAGTCTGTCGCTAAAACGGTGCACTCTTCGCGTGACGATAATCCGAACGCTTGGATTATGGCACTAAAATAAGGTAAGGCTTTAACTCCGAGGCGGTTACAATTTGGCCGACTTTCGCGCACTTGCTAATCTCTTCTTGACCGTCCTTCCTTCTAGGCGCGTCTCAAGATTACAAGTGTCACTCTCTTACGGTGCAAAAGTAACGTCGCGTCTCTCCTTTCAAAGGCGTTTACTTTACAGTAGTGGCGCGAACTTAGTTTATACTGTTAAAGAATGTGTCTTGTTTATTGTGCGAAGCGAAATAGTATTTATTTAATAAAGCGCGAGTGTGCCAAAAACAGAGAAGTGTTCTAAAAAGAAACTTTTAGTCTCTGATCTAGAACTTAGAACTTGTTGTTCTTAAACTAACTCGAAACTATCCTATTTATATGCCTTGTTGACGCGTAAATACCCAGTATATGCTATTACTAATTATTACATCATTCCATCATCACTGTCTCTATTATTTCGCGACGCGCCACAATATCGCGTTCTCATCCCTATTGTTCCCATAACAATGTAGAAAGGTAATTCTTAGTCCCCCTTATTTAAAGTATGTGGAATTTCACAAGCAATAATGTGCTAATTAACGCATCATCTAAATTTAACGCCTATCGAGAAAAAATTTTAATTGAAAACTTCTGTCATGAAATTGTTGGCGGTGAATTAAATTGGGACTTAATGGTAAATGATAGAGGCGTGATTGTTTGGTCGAGTAGTTATAACTTTGTTTATTATTCAATAAATATTTTCTTATATTCCTAAATGTTTAATGATTCAGTTGTATTAATTTTCTCCATTATAAAATGGTTGATTTAGTAATTTCATGCTGTAATGTAAAACTTTTTTTGGTGACGTAATAATCAGAACACGTTTGCAGTAAAATCTATTTGGCACTTAATGATCCTTGTTTAAAATACTATTTATTACTAATAATATTTGCTGTATATATAACATAATTTTTTGAATACAGTAAATAATGAAATAAAATTATTTGAGGGTTGACCGAACTCCTCTAGTTATGAGAATTAGTTGCTAAGACTTAAGACAAATAAAGATTTGGTTCAAGACTCTAAAACAAAATATAAACACTATATAACTTTCATGCAATCAGTAGCATTTATTCATATAACCTAACATAACAAAGTAAAACAAAAAAACTAATCATTCCAATTGCAAACAACTGCTCAAACTTTTTTAAGTTCTTATTGTAAATGTGAAAACAACTACTCCAAACAATTTACAATTCAAACAGTGACTAAAGTTCAGATATTAGTTTTCTCTTTTTATTTAGGATTTTTGGCTCGATTATTACATGATTTTCTATTTACATTTTGTCAAAATAGTAAAAATAATCAAAATTTCAAAATTTTCAAAATTCTTAAATTAGTAAATTAAAGCTAATTTTGCTATAATGTTAATATTACCAATAAATAATTTGGAAATAGGCATAGGCATAGATATAGGCCACAAATATACAATTGCCTATGCGATTTACAATTATATAAATTAATAAACCTAGGCTTTATTATTGGCAAGTTTTTCACTAAAATTAATTTTGTGCAAAACTTGAATTAAAACAATAAATGTATTATTAAGATTGGTATTAATTTTTTTTATATTATACTTATTTTTTTTTTTTTACTGTATTATAGATTCTACTGTTGTTATTAATAGCAAGTTTGTCACTAACCTAGGGTTGATGCTTATATCACATTGAACTAGATAAGTATAGTTTATTTTTTAATTCTGTGATTATTTAAACTTACACTTATCTTAATTAATCAACTTTCACTTATTCTGATTACAGACTTAATAAAACTATAATATAATAATCAAGTTTTAATAAGAAAAATAAATTATTAATTAACTTTAATACAATTTACAAAACTGAATATACAATTCTTATTAATAATAATTATTAACTTATTAATTACCCTATTTACTTCTATTTATATTAACCATAATACAAAAATTAATCTATTGTTAACAATTGGATCTATTAAATTTTTTTATTAAAAATATATGCAAATTAAATCAGATAATAATTATAACAAATTAGTAATAACATATATAATATTTAACTTTTTAATTTATATATTGTTAATAAAGAACATCTTTTTTCCCATGCAAAACACAAGGAAACTGAGAGGCAGCTCTCTCACCACAAGATCCAACTATAATGACAATGAGCTAAGCAAAGGTAACAAATTTAACAAAATCAGAGAAACGGCCACCCAACCATATCCCACCTCTGCAAAAAAACCCAAAACACATATCGAAAAACAGAAAACTAGCATAATTCCAATCAGCACTGGCAACACACTAACAGAAATAATAGAAACTACTTTTCCACAAGAATTAAACGATAAAGTCCCTAGTGAAAACTGGGCAGAAATAACATAAAACGAGAAGTTTGTAACACAGCCACACTCAGGAATGAAAGAAAAATATGATGACCAAACTTACCAAAGCACCAACCAGGTAAGTGATAGGGAACCCACAAGACCAGATGAATTCGATATCGACATGAACAGCAACTCAGAACTAGACAGAGAAATGGATGACACAGGCTGGTCCATGGTTAAGAAAGGGAAACAACTTGTTAAACAGAGCATCAAACCCAGAGCATTATCCCCAATCGATTGAGCAAAAAGATACGGAAGAAAAAGATTCAAACTGAAGATACCTGCAGATAAAGTCAAAGGCAAATACACAAGTAGCAAAATACAGATGGTCGCCAAAGTCCTCGGCAGCCGATCGGCCTAATTTTTATCCATGCCGAAAAAATCGAAAATATCGAACACATCGTAACAATCTTCGAAGATCAGCAAACAGCAGATGATGCAATGACCATAGTATTAGATGAATTTCACAATGATAAACTCATATGCATAGAAATGCTAAGTCCCATTCAAAGAAGGGAAAATGTGATCAGGATGTGGGATATACCCTCAATGCAAAAACCATAAATATTCAACAAACCTTTGCTAGATACGGCAACATCACGAGCATCACCATGAGCACGCAACAAATATGGCAATCAGTAACTATTTATTATAAGAACAGGAATGATAAAAACAAACTAGTCAAACTCTGGTCCGTACCATTCAAAGCAGACATGGTAAAAGTTTTTGATGCAACATGGAACATTAACCAAATAAAGTGCAGACAATCCACTTCAATCAAGCTCTGCAACTTACTCCCTGGCACAATAGCATACGACCTTAGAGACGTAATCACAGAAACATACGCCAAGACATGCTACATCCCCAGGAAAATGTCATACCAAAGGAAAAGATTTGCAATTATAGCATATAAAAACCAGCAAGAATTCAAAAAACAATACAGAAGATATACAAACTAGGAAACACAGTATTAAGCTGGCAACCAATAGATACCAAACTATGCGCTATCTGCGACATGTATGATCACTTAGCAGCTGAATGTCCAATCAAACATCACAGAGAACAACTGAAAATGTATAATAAAGAACAAGCGAAACAGTTTGGGGTTCTTTACTGCAGATACTGACCAGCCAGAACCACTCCGATCAGAAACATCATCAGAAATAAAAAGAAAGAAAGCAATGGAAAAAAGTCATATGTGGAAATAGCCCACAAAAACCACAGAGTCGGACTACTAGGAAAAAATTGAAACATAAATGAGACATATAACAAAGTGTAAGCAACAGTCCTTACCACATTGCAACACATTTTCGAAGAAATCAAGGAAGTCAAAAAACAATTAAATAACCTAGATGAAAGAGTAAAATAGATTGAATCTACTTACAAAGAAAAGACCAAAGATAAAATAACAAATAACGATCAAACCATCGTAACAACCTAGTGACATGGACAGACACCAAGACAACTGAAGCCAGTAGCGAGTGGAACCACAGAAAAGCTAATCAAAAACCAGAGGACTGAACAAGAACAGCTACATTCTGGAATAAAGAGAATCGAAAAAGCCCTAGCCAAAGTAATTCATATGGCATGGAACCAGAACAATGATGAAACCGATAATATCACTGGAGCACACATGACAACCTCCACTATCAATAATGGAGAACCACAGTAGTACAATAGAAGCGGGTCTAGCAATGCGCCTAGATAATCTGCTGCACCTAGAATCTATGCACGAACAATCCATCGAAAAATCAGGAACATCAGAAATATTAAACAACATAACAATAAAAACAAACACAAACAATAAAGAACCAGTAAATTCACTGATGCAGTCTATGAATGATAACTCACCAAAGCACAACACACGAATGTTCTCTCAGCCACTACACTCAGAATCGCAACATCGAATGTAAGGGGGATAAACGATAACTACAAAAGAAATCTCTAGTTCGCTCAATAGCATATACACAAATGGAACATCATAATCACAACAGAGACAAACAGCAGATCACAAAATGAAAACACTGGAAAAATGATACATATACAACATACTGGACCTCGGAAGAACAATTTTTAGGAGAAGGCTTAAGTATCAGCCTTAAAGCACACCTCACGAAAAGAGTCATAAGAAACAAACAATACCAGATAGAGTTATATTTATAAACTTAGCATTTTCGCAGAGGAAGTATGTTAGAATAAAAGGAGTATACGCATATACAGTCCAATCAAAAAGGGCACAACTGGAAGCACAAGAGAGCAAATAAATCCAAATTGCCAGACAAGACAACTGGGAAGTAATCCTGGGGGAAAACCTCAACAACGTCCACAGATCCACTATAGACTGCTACTTTAGTGCAAACAAAAATGGAAAGGACAAGTGGATATACAATAGCATACTGATTAACAACATAACAACGGAGGAATTGAAGGACATATTCAGACACTTATATCCAGAAGTCCAGGAATACACATGGAAAAACACAGTGGAAAGTGAAATAGAATAGATCAGATATAAGCAACAGACAAGGGAAACAGCATTATCCAAGCAGTAGAGATCATTGAGAAACCAAAGGAGATACATGACTTAGACCACAAGATTACGGTGATACAAATAACTTTTCCAGGACTGATAAATCACAAACAACCAAACAAGAGAAGAACACTCAACACCAGATGCAATTGGGCAAGAACTGAAGAACATAAATGGACAGCATAGACAAAAGACATTAAAAACGAATGCACAGGAAGACTTGACACACAAATGATCGATATCTCACAAACTGTGAACGAACAATGGAACAAACTCAGAGAGATAATTCTGGCAGCCACAAGCAAGCACATCAAGAAAAAAAAGAAAAACAAATGCTATAGCAGAAACAAGAAAGCAAAACAAAACTTACATAGCATGGTCGAATTTATCGGCATATCACAAATAATTCAGGGCACAACAAGATACATAACGGATCCATTAAAAGCAAGCCATATAGACAAGGTAAAGGAGCTGGCTGATGCATATAAAACTACAATAGGACAGCCAACATCATGGATCCTACAATACATAAAAGAGTGGCTGCCAGAAGTCAGAAACATGAGAAACATACTACAAAAAAGCCATATGACTAGAATTACAGAAACAAAAAGAAACACAATCAGAACAGCATTAAATACAAGAATAAACTGACTGGAAACAGACAAAAAAAGAATGATTAACAGTATTCTAAAAAATGTGCGCAGACAAATCACACTCAACAAAATTATAATGCAAGAGGAAAACCCGGAAGTAATATTGAATAAGGACAGAATAAAACAAGCAGTACAAGAGTACTTCAGAAAATGGACACCAAGAGGAGACCAGAGGAGAATCGACAAAGAATGGCTCTCCGAATTTCAACCTATCAGAAACGTCCGAAGTGAATGGTATAACAGCCTAATGAAAGAAATCAGTATAGAAGAGATATGGAAGACAATACTAAACACGAACAACATATCAGCACCAGGCCCTACACAGATTCTGTACATAGTCCTCAAGAAGCTTGAAATACAAGTAATGAAGGCAATCACGAAGATATTCAATGATATACTAACCTACCGTAGAATGTCCACAGAATGGAAAAATGGAACGATTTACCCTATACTCAAAATAATGGACTGGGAAAATAACCTATTGAAAGTTAGGCCTATTACGCTCCTAGAATCAATAAAAAAATATTTACAAAGATATTGACAAAAAGACTTACCATGGTTTTCACTTCACACCCAATACTATCAGAACACAACTGGTTTGCGCTACCCAAGTTAAGCACAAGAGAACCTATTAGAATAGTAAACAGTGCTATAGACAACGCAAGACTACACAATAAGAAATGTTGGTTGATTTTTTAAGACATGTCCAAGGCATATGACCATGTCAACATCAATATCCTCGAACATGTACTTAAAAGACTCAAAATATCAGATCTTTTTTGCGAATTAATAACAGAAAACTTCAACCACAGACATAATACAATCATTATAGCTGTAGGTAAAGATGGGTCCCTAAATTATTTGTAAGGACATAATTCAAATGTCCCTTATTATTAAAAATTTTCATTTCTATATTAAGAAATAAAAAAAACTATCTACAAAGGTTCTTTATAGTTTTAAGCATCTATACAAATCATTTCTGAAATTATGTCCCTATTGAAATAAAGAGCTAGGAATTATGTCCTCTAGGGGACGTGGACGTAAAGGGATATAAATTTTATATGCTAAATACTTTAGGGACCTATCTTTAGCTGCAGGCATAACAGATCCATATGAAGTCCAAGGTGACATAGACCAAGGGAACACTATATCACCCATATTATAAGGATATACTATAACCTATTGATCACAAGAATAGCAAAAATGAAAGGATACACATATATATGCAAAAGACCATCACAGTCCGAGCCTAATACATACATAGAGAAAACAAACATATCGCAAGCAGCATATATGGACAACACCACATGGGTAGCAGACAACGAATATGATATGCAAAGAATAATTAACACTGCAGAAACCTTCTACAACATAACTGATATCCAAGTCAACCCACATAAGACACATATGATCATAATAGGAAGGAACAACCCACTGACAATAAACTTCAGAGACACAATTATCAATTACACAGAAGCGCCAATCAAATACCTAGGGATATGGATACAAAAAAAAGCAGGCAAAATTTTTCAAAAACAAATCCTAAAGAAAAAAACCAATCAAATCCTTAACAAACTCAAATGGAAACAGACAACCAACAAACAAACCATTTACATTCTCAATTATGTACTTTTTCCTAAAATAAAGTACTTACTCAATGACATGGTGTTGTCCAGTAAAGAAGTCACAGACATCAATAGGAAAATAAGATGAGTCTCAAAAAACAAATTCGAATTTGCGTCAATTGTGCCGAACTCCCTGATACATAGCTAGGGTTGTTATCGGCTTAAGTGGCTTGGCTTAGCTTTGAAAGCCATGGCTTTAGCTTGAACCATGGCTTCAATAGCCATGATATGAGTTATAGTTCATAGCTATAGCTTGAGCTGTGAATCTAATAACTATAACTTGAGCCGTGGCTCTAATAGTTATAGCTTGATTTGTGGCTCTAATAGCTATAGCTTGATCTGTGGCTCTAATAGCTATGGCTTGAGCCGTGGCTCTAATAGCTATGGCTTGAGCCGTGGCTCTAATAGCTATAGCTTAATCCATGACTCTAATAACTATAGTGTCATGGGCTATCCATTCAGCCCACACTACTGGTCATCGCTTCAGTTCCACAATAAAGTAAGTTTCTAACTCTTGAGGCGTGTTTCCGATTTGGCTGGTCTTCTCACTTTAACTTCTCTACCGACTAGCCTAGAAACTTTCTAATGCCAATCTTTAGGCAATCCTCGGTTCTTTCTTGTAGTCACGTAGACCAAGTTACAAGTCTACTGTGGCGCACAAAACACAAGGTAAGAGTTTATTCGTCAAATATTATTTTATTGTTTATTACTTAATGCGTTCTAAGAATTAAGCTTCCCCTTACATGCTATTGAATTGCGCATGTATTTATACATGCGCCTACTGTTTACATATTTACATCTGATCGCTTTTTTATACTATTCTAGAAATTCCCACTTTTAAATTCTCCCACACTAATCTCCCACTATTCTCTCAAAAAAATACTAATTACATAACATAACACGTATCGCATTGCCATGATCCGCTTTTTGCCCATGACAATAGCTTGAGCCTAAAGTTGTTATTGACTCTCTAGCCACAAAATAAAGCCAAACCAAATCAAACTATTAGAATCCTAATGATGATCGGTAAGTCTGTCGCTAATGAAAACTAAGATTTGTGTAATGATTGTTAAACAACAGTGTTACATATTTATTTTAAGGTGAGACGGGTTTGATGTTGATTGAAATAGCTTTTTTTTTTATTAACTTCTTTGTTTATACATTTTTACATACTAAATATAACAAGTATTAATTAAGTTAAAGTTTTATGACGAAGCGATTGTTAAATAATTTTATGCTTCTCTTTATTACATAATTTAATTAATCAATCCATAGTGCCATGATTGATCCTGTACATTCTAGCAAGTGGTGGCCTTCGCAATTGTACCACCTTCTTACCCAATTTATATTGTACCGTGACATCTGATTATGCTTATTCTTATGATATTACGGGAATCTGGTATAAGTGGTATAAATATTATAGTCTTTATTTAACTATTAATTTTACTATTTTTTTATTAATATAAAAATTTATCGAATATTTTTTAATTTAAATAAAAAAGATGGTTAATTATTTTTGAAGGCGGACCGGAAATTTTCTGGTACTACAATTGTGATCATTACGTGTGTATTGTTTAAAAGTAGGTCCGAAAAAATCATATCTAGCATTTTTGTCGTCTTCAAAAATAATTACCCAGATAGTTATTTAAATTATAAATTTTGATTAAATAATTAAGATTTAATAAGATATACTTATTAATCAAAATTTATTTTTAATAAAAATATTCATTAATATATTAAAAAATTACTTGCAAATCTAATAAAATTAAATTTATTATAAATTTTAATTAATTAAAAAAAAAGATATAAATATGTATTAACGTAAAGATACAAAAATATAAAATGTCGAATATTAATGATTGGATCATGCAAGAAAAAAATTTTGATCATAATTACGAAATTGAAGAAGATTCCGATAATATCAGCACTATTGCTTCTACATCTCAAGTATCTAAAGAAAGTATAGACGATAACAAAAAATCTCTTATATGGGATTTTATGCATGAAGAAATAGATACAAATGGAAATACTATCGTAGTATGCAATAACAAGAAATGTGGCAAACAATATAGTATAAAAACATCTACAGGAGTTTTAGCAAAACATCTAAATAAAAATCACAATTGCAACATTATTTTAAAACAAAAAAACTATCTATCTTTAATTCCAAAACCCTATAGTAAAAATGATTCTTTACGTATAAACGAATGCAACAATTCTATATTGGATTTTATAATTGGAGATCAAATTTCGTT